CTTTATGGCAGATATAAATGTCCATAGTACCCCCAACAACCAACAAATTGGCTAAGACCAATAAATCCCTATCTTTAACCAATTCTACCAAATTGCCAACTTGAGCAGCTCCAATATATATTTTTTCTATATTGGTAACCCCAAAATCCCTGCAATAGTCATTCACTTCCGGAATAGACAAATGGTCTATATCAACATTGAAGGCATATTCTTTTTCCCCCCAATATAAACAGGTCCTACCTCACTCACAAGTATACCACCGATGTGAAACCTCAAATTTACGTACTTAGTGTCCATTACCTTAGAACAATAGAAATATGCAAAGTTTAATAAGCCAACTATTGTTCATGAAATCAGTAGCTAAAAATCGCCACCCATACGAAAATTAAGTTCAGGAGTAAAGAAAGAGTACCTTATGTAGTCAATTTCTTCTTCTTTCAACTCTTTTCAGATGGTATCAAAACCTAAAAAATTATACAAAATTGTTAATATTTTGAGACAAAAATAAGAACCCTAACATTTTTTGACAAATGAGTAACTAAGCTTCAAACCATGATGAATTTGTGAATTAATAGTGAAAACCCTAAATTTACTCAAAATTTTCACACACCAAAGAGACCCAGCTGAGAAACAGAGAAAGATGTTTCTACAGAGTTTTAGGCTAAAAACATCCTTAAACTATGACCAAAACCTAAAGTACATCCTTCTATTATTATAGTTAACACAAAACATCCCTTAACTAACTCAAAAGTTGCAACAATCATCCTTCCGTTTAGTTTCTGTCCAAAACTAACAGCCAAACAACTGCCCCAGCCCCGATGACCACCCACCCCAAATATTTCTATTTCTATCCTATCTTATTGTCTTTTGACCTGCAGCAGAATTTCTCTGTCATTCTGAAAAGCCTAGAGCTTTAGGGCAGAAAACCCATATGCTATGCTCATAATCTTTTTTCTTACCAATTCAAGACCTATAGTTTTGACGCGATTTGTCTTCTACCGTATATATAGTAGTGCTTCACCAATCAAGGCAAAAGTCAAGTTCATAATCTTTCTTTATCCAATCGTTCTTTAATTGTTTAATGTAAGTGACGAGTGTGATAAATTAATTCCTACTCTTCATCTTGATATACTTTATCTTGAGAGAGGTAAATATATTTTCTAGGAAAACTACAGATAACCATACAATAACAAAGATCTGCTAAGATAGTGTTAAAATGTCCTTATCTGTTATATAAAATGATCCAAAGAGATTGAAAGTATTGGTACTGCACAAAATAATATAAAATTCACTAATTGTTTCCATTATAAATCATCACCACTTGTTTTGATTAAAATCTCTGGTAGCTTTTAATGAAAAATGGAAAAGAAAGAATAAGCTTTGTGTAATATTTATTTTTTGAGCAGGAAACTGAAGAAATAGTTCTACACAATTGTGCATAACTAAGTATTTATCTGATTAATTTCCTTCCGCTGTTGAAAAAAGAGAATATGAATGCTCTTACATGTAACTGAAGAAGGTGTAAGATGATTGCGCGGGAGGGAGACAGATAGAGAAATTAAAGGAGAAAAGAGATGCGATTTTTGGGTATATCGTTAGTTTTTTGACAGAAACTAAACGGAAGAATGATTGTTGCAACTTTTGAGTTAGTTAAGGGATGTTTTTTGTTAACTATAATAATAGAAGGATGTACTTTAGGTTTTGGTCATAGTTCAAGGATGTTTTTAGCCTAAAACTCTGTTTCTACATGTTGAAAGTAAAACTTTAATCTTTTGACATGGTGGAATTTGTTTCCATGTGGCAATCTATGTGGCATTTAAAAAATAATAATTGAGAGAGTGTAATACACACACTATCATATTTTACTTGAGGTGTGTTTTTCAAAATAAAATGTAATAGTTTAGGTGTGTTTCTCACACTTTTGATAGTTCGGGTATGAAACTCAAAAAAAAGATATAGTTTAGGTGTGTTTTAACCACTTATCTCTTTATTGATTTGCCAAACACTTGATTTTTCAACAAAAGTGTTTTTTCCCCCTCAAAATAAGTGTTTCTGGCGTCCCAAGAGCAATGCCAAACAAACTCTTATATCTACTAACTATTTATTTCATATATAAATAA